AGATTAATTTCAGAAATTTTCGAGAAAAAACAAGCAATTCTCTTATTTTGAAAAGTCGCAAAATTGCGAGAAAAAACTCAGAAATTTCCACAATTAAAGGCAGAAATTTGCGACATTTAAACTAGATATTTATGACATGGTAAAGTCAGAAATTCACAAGAAAAAAAACCTCGTAAATTTATGAGAAAAAACTCTGAAGTTTTCAGGAATGGCTAAYGGGTGATTCCACCTGTTTTCACTACCTTGAACATCTTTAATCCACTCTAGTTTAAAAACTAAAAACACATAGAGACTTCAAACATGGACTAGATTATTCTAGACTGATTGCAAAATGTTTAAAACGAAGTGTAAAAAAAAGCCACATTGGCTTTTTTTACACTTCGTTTTAAACATTTTGCAATCAGTCTAGAATAATCTAGTTTGAAGTCTTGTGTTTTAAAATCTCTTGTAGGGGTGTAAGAAAAGAGGCTCTACAATTACTCATTGTAGAGTAATCTAGTAAAGCCACATTGGCTTTTTTTGCCGTTAAGCTTGCAAAAATAATTCAAGAGTAAGTGTGTGTACTGCAAACTGACCAGGGGTGAGTCCTCGTACACAATGATGCCATCCTGCACTGAAGGCTGCAGGGTTAGAGTCTGGACTGTTGTATCCCTGAAAGAAGAAGTAGGGTTACACACACAAGCCAACCAGAGTCAAAGACATAAAACATAAAAATGTGTAAATGGTTTGATGTGGTGTGGACTTCTGAAGTTTATTTATTGCCACTTTGTGCCTGCAGCAGTTCTTAATTTTGTTTTTTGAAACCAAAAGCTGACATAGAGTAAATAACCTGATAAGGCAAGATAGTCTAACTTTAAAATGGAAAGTCTGCTTACAGGGAGTCAGTAATGTGTGTATGTTTGCACACACACATTCATGAACTGCATCTCTTTCTCTCTCTTAGACGACAGACAGACAGACAGACAGACAGGATTGGGTTAATTTCACCTACCACCACATCAAATTTAGCTCAACATCTCTAAAAATGATTGACGTATCAATGTGACCCAGTGTGTCCCAGTTTCCTTGCTGACTGCATTTTTCTTGCTTTTTTGAGCCACATCTCTGTAGGCTTTCCATCACAAGCTCCCAGAAGCCACATGCACACACTCTACTGCCTCGATCCTGCTCTAATAATAGCTGTTGCTACAGTGGCTAACCAGGACACATCCATGCTCAGCTCTACTTTGACTTTCAGAAGACTTTGACCTGGTCTAAATCTGCATGCTGAGTGAATGTGCCTACACCAGTGCCGTAGAACTGCAGGTAGTTGTTGGGGTGCTACCCCAAAGGTTATCAGATGGATCTACACGGCCATAGTCCGCCCCATGCTAYGMTATGCTGCTTTAGTGTGGTGGGTTCCAGTCAAAGTTGGGGTTGGCCTGCCTGAGCATCACAGGTTCTATCAGAACAACACCCACGGCAGCCATGGAAGTCCTACTGGACCTGGCTCCACTAGATTTACATAT